GCTAAACTATTCATTTACACACTAGACACACAAATCAGTACTTACCGACATTGTATTGGGTGAAATGCTTCAGTATATAAGGAGCACTATACCGAGAAACACGAGTTTTGGCGCCGGCAAGGTAGAAGTGTTTACATTCTGCTGTCTCGACCAATGGGAAGCGAGCAGCCGCCATCACCGCTCAGCCTGGGCGACTCAGGGAAGGTCTGTGATTGGTCAGAAATAGAGAATGGGAACCTAGATGCGCGGCGGGAGTTGTAGGACGTGCGCAAAAAACCACGCTATGAGGACAGACTTCACTCGGGTCTGCCCGGTAAAGGGATTTATTAATGAAATCTATAGCTGACCTGTACTTATCTAGCAGCTCTTCTCTCCTACCCTTCCCAATATCATTTCCACCAGCACTGAGACAGATAATGGGCTTGTTCCCATTACCTGACATGATATTATCCAGCCTGTTGCAATGTCCCCAACACCAGCTCCAGGGAAGCACACTCTATCTCTCATCTTCTTATTCCTATTACAAAAAGCACGGTCAATATATCTTACCTGAGAGTCACCAACCACAAGAATGCGCTTACCTTCATTAGCAGGGGCAGTAGTACCCTTACCTTCACTGGCCACTGAAGTACATTCATCCTGGAGAACAGAGAAGCGATTTCCTACCTTCAGATCTTCACTCTTAACTTTCCTTACTCTGATGCGCCTCCCATTACTGTGAACAACTCGCCACTTTGTAGCAGGTGCTGGGCTGCACCTCACTGCTGGTAGCCGTTGCTACCTCCCCAACTACAGCCTCATCACAGCGAGAGACAGACTGCACCTCACTGCTAGAAGTCTCATTCCCCACAACTCCAGCCACCTCACACTCTCTCCCAGACCCATTGAGGTGGACCTTCAGCCTCCTAATCTCCTCCTGGAGAAGCAAGACCTCCTCCTTCAACTCTCCAACCTCAGTTTTTAAAACACTGCAGAAGCAAGCCATGCTTTGTAACCGTCCACGCTAATCCCCAAAGCAGCTCAGGGTCTGTGACCTCACGTGACGACTGACCACTGACGACTGACGACTGACCACTGACGACTGACGACTGACCACTGACGACTGACGACTGACCACTGACGACTGACGACTGACCACTGACGACTCAACGACTGACCACTGACGACTGACGACTGACCACTGACGACTTTTCTAAATCCATAAATGCAATAAAAACGTCCTTACCTTTATCTAAATACTGCTCACATATATGCTTCAATGTTACTAAACACTTGATCTACACATCCCCTACCCACTCTGAAACCTCCTTGCTCATCCGCAATCCTACATTCTGTCTTACCTTTAATTCTTTCAATAATAACCCTACCGTACACTTTTCCTGGTATGCTCAGTAAACTTATTCCTCTATAATTTTTACAATCTCTTTTGTCCCCCTTCCCTTTATATAAAGGGACTATACATGCTCTCCGTCAATCCCTAGGTACCTTCGCCTCTTTCATACATTTATTAAACAAAAATACCAACCACTCCAACACTATATCCTCCCCCCCTGCTTTTAACATTTCTGTCATGATCCCGTCAGTTCCAGTTGCTTTTCCCCCTTTCATTCTACGTAATGCCTCACGCATCTCGCCCACACTCACATCCTGCTCTTCTTCACTCCTAATAGATGGTATACCTCCCTGGCCAGTGCATGAAATTACCACCTCCCTTTCATCGTCGACATTTAAACGTTCCTCAAAATATTCTCGCCATCTATCCAAAACCTCCATCTCCCCATCTACTAACTCCCCTACTCTGCTTTTAACTAATAAATCCATTTGTTCCCTAGGCTTTCTTAACTTGTTTAACTCACTCCAAAAAAAATTTCTTATTTTCATTAAAATTTCTTGACAGTGCCTCT